ATGGTGTGTCCTAGGGAGCCATTTGGTTCTTTTGTAGATTATGATGTCCAGAAAGGGAAGTTGTTTGTTTGCTTCTATTTCCATGGTTAATTGTATTTTGGGGTGTAGGCTGTTGAGATGTGTGAGATAGTTCTTCAATTTTTCTTTCCCATGTGGCCAAATCACAAAAGTGTCATTAACATATCTAAGCCAGAGTTTGGGTTTGTGTTCAGATTTATTTCAAAATGTTCCATGTATAGGTTTGCGATGACGGGTGGGAGTGGTGATCCCATGGGTGCTCCTTCTATCTGTTTTTATCTTTGTCCATTATGGATTAAGTATGTGTTGGTTAGGCAGTGGTTGGTCAGGCCCAGGATGTGTTTAGGAGCGTTGTGTTTGTTCTGGATAGCTGTCAAGGCTTCTTTTATAGGCACTTGGGTGAAGACGGATATGACATCGAAGCTCACGGGTATGTCACTGGGTTGTAGGTTTTGTTTCTTTATTGTTTCTATGAAGTGGAGTGAGTTTTGTACATGTGAGGTGATGGATTCTGCATAGGGTTGGAGTCATTTGGCAAGATTCCGTAGAGGTGAGCTGACTGGGTCTGAGTGGTGTTCCTTCTTTGTGTATCTTGGGGAGGCCATAGAGTTTGGGGCATCTGGAAGATTTCTCTCTGGGGATGATTCTTTGCTGGATCTCTTCATTGGTGGGAGAGGCTTTTATTTTGGATTTGGTAGTTTTTTCTAGGTAGGTGGTGGCTTCTGTGTTTAGAGGTTTGTAAGCGGGGTCTTGGAGTAGGTTGGATAGTTTGGCTTGGTAGTCCAACCTACTCCAAGACCCTGCTTACAAATCTCTAAACCAGTGGTTCTCAACCTGTGGGTTGGGACCCCTTTGGGTCGCCTATGATCATCGGAAAACACATATTTTTGATGGTCTTAGGAACCAAGACACCAAAATGACTCAGGGTCCCCTAATGAGTTTCTGCAGCTGAAGTTGGACTTGAACCCAGTCTTAGACCAGTAACTTAACCACTACATCACAATGCCTCTGTACCACTTTCCAACAATTACAGATAATGAAGCCCCACCAAATGTGGGACACAATAGATGGGCTTTTTTAAATAAGATGGCCACTAGGGAACTTATTTTCTTTGTGCTAAGGTGTGCTGTAAAACCTGTTTAATATAATGGTTCCATTAAGGGAAGTCATAAAGGATATGCATGCATGTATGCCTTGGTCATACTTCCTAGCATTATTTGTATTTGGTAGACTGTGCTAACACAGAGCTATACTAAACTAAGAATTCACACCTTGTGCTTCATAAGTTGAGTATATAAGAGTCCATTGTTATTTATTTTTGGCATCAGATCAAGAGTGGGTTACTGCTGCTTCGCTTTGTGTGTGCTTTGCGCCCATGCGCAGTTGCCTGTAAATTATTCTGTGCATGCACAGAACATGAAAAAATGACTAAAAAACAAGCCAGCAATGGCAGAGGTGATCAGGGAACTGGTTTGGGGGCATGGCCAGCCTGTCATTCCTACTGGTTCAGCGACCCAGTCCCAATTTCCACTACTAGTTCGCCTGAACCAGTGCAAACTGGTAGCAACCCACCTCTGCATCAGATGGTTTTCTTTAGGTAAATAAAAATATACCAAAGTGTTTTTAATCTCCAAAAGCTATGTAACAAAAGAAATATCTTTAAATATGAGGAAAAGTAGAACGAACAGATAGGATGCTGGAAAATAGATTTTGTAATTTTTGGAACTAGAAAAAATTAGTTGCCCAAGTTTTCTTAAGAATAATTTGCTTGTACCTGAAAATAAATAAATAACTTTTCTTTATCTAACTTGTTTGCCAATACATTATTACATCTTTTGAAATGCAGAAGATCGCTCATAGTTATTTTAAATATATCTCTTGATGGCTGGCTCAGAACATCTGTAAGCAACAGAACACACTTTATGCAGATATCCAGCATATGAGTTTTACGTAAACCCCTTCGTGGTCAGAATATTTTCAGATCTTGAAATGAACTGCTGATCCCCAGCTGAATATGCAAACAAGATTTCACTGGCTAGGAGGTATCATCATGGACTTACCAAACAGGTTTTTCCAGACTTTGAGACTCATCAAAAATAAATTTTGCTTGTAAAACAGATGGTTGTTAAAGTTACTTGGACTGTGCAGGAACTAAGTGCGAAGAGATATGCAGGAACAGGGTAAGGTACAGTTAATCTTTCTTTAATAGGCTCAGAACTGATGTAAAGATGCATTTACATTTGTTGAACATATTTCATCTTTTTTCGCAAGATGAAGTATGAGTTGGCAAAATACTTCTCATTTTCTTGGAAGTCATTCTATAGCTGCCTAGAGACATATCTTTTACTATGCAGTTAGTTTTATTTTTTCAAGTTCTACTAAGTCTAGGAAAAGATGTTGGTGTACTTTTGTTTTTGATCCAGGGGGTGTTTGTTTAATAACACATGAACTTCCCCATTCCTTCCATTACTGGCTGCTGCTGTTGAGATTTTAAATAGTTGCAAGGTATTGATATTTCATCTTGTATCAAAAGTGTTCCAACTGAAGAGCTCAAAACTGGGGACGGAAGGAATGTTTGTACTACAAGAAAATGTTAGGTGCTGTGATTGTAGCAGAAATATAATGATATTGCTTCAGTCATTATTCCAAACTACAATCAGAACTGAAGAAGCGTCTTGGATGAGAAGTGAAACATCTTCAAGGAAAAACAAAGCCCAGTTGCTTTTTGAAAAAACAACAACTTTGGGACAACCATGACCTAGATGTCTGAGAATCTCCATAGGCTTCAGTCGTTACAGTACAGAATATTTTTTAAGGTTCCATTCATTTGTGCTTCTTTATATTGATCCCTCCTTACTTTTGAACTTTCCTAGGGAACAAAATTAGAAGGAAAAGTCAGTATGGTGCTACCGAGTCACCAAACCTACATGATCACCAGGAGGACCAGGATCAAACCTACTTGGATGAAAGGATCGCTATTCCAGATGTTGGTGGGGTAAGCCTTTGGTTACGAGTTTGCACATGGATTGTTGTCCTGGGATTTTTCTCTTGACTGAAAAGTCCTTTTGGAACTATCAGCTCCACAGCATAATTGGGCTCACACAGCATGTTAATGAATTTACTAAGACTGTATTACTATTATTTTTCTCCTTCTTCCTAGTACCTATCTCTTCCCACTTATGACTATAAAAATATTGCTTGTATCTTTCAATTTATATTGTTTTATTTGTTTCCTAGTATGATTTGATTGCTTATTAGTATCCTATGACTATCTCTAAGTGTTGTATCTTATGATTCTTAATGAATATATTCTATTTTATTTTTCTTTATGTACACTAAGAGAATATGCACCAAAGACAAATTTCTTGTGTGTCCAGTCACACTTGGCCAATAAAGAATTCTATTCTATTCTATTCTATTCTATTCTATTCTATTCTATTCTATTCTATTAACTACATGACTGTGGGGATGCTTCAACAGTTATAAGTGCCATGGCAAATTCCTTTCATACTATTGTTAAGAAAATCCCACAGATATATGCACAGTCCCCAGGAATGGAGCTTAACTGAAACTGAAATTGTTTGCATAGAATTAACACAGTACCTGGCTTGTGAGGAACCAGGAAAAGGTAGGCTTTGTTTGAAACACAGGGAAATAAAAAGCTTATTGGAAAGTATGGGAGATGTAAACAGATCATGGCATAGCAGGCCAAGGTGATTTTCATTTGCAAGGAGTGAACCAATCCAAGATCAAGGCTGTGTCCCTGAGCTATTGATCTTTGCAGGTGGGGCTAATCAATTTTTGGCTTGCATGCTGCTTCAGAAAAAATAATGCCACAAGGATAGTTTTGCAGGGCAGGCAGCTGCTCTCTGGAAGGAATGGATCCCTGCCTCACCTCTTCTGCCAATTTCTGAGTCCTGTCCTCCCCTCCTTTGCTTCTGCTGTCACTATGGAAGCATCTGGTTGGCAGGAGCCATGCAATTTCCTTTCCCGCCAAAGGCTGGCCAATATGAGATGTTGACTCTTCATGGGCCATGCTGTTGTGGCCCAGACCATGTACAGCTTCTAAACCACAGCTGCCCACCCTTGGCCCCCCAAAAAGCTAGGAGCAATTTAGAAACAGGATACATGCATACAGATAAGACAGATGGATATATAAGGACAGACGGACAGACGGACAGACACACACACACACACACACACACACAAGAGCATTGATCTGCATGAGAGAGAGGAGCAAATTCTTTAATTGGGATCAAAGTGGTACGTCTTATGTCAGGTTTTTCTAAGTGATACTTTTGTTGGTTGACAAGAAAAGTGGCCTTGTAGGTCTGATTCAGTAGAATAAGCTATTCAAGTATAATAACATTACTGTGACTTTTCTTCTCTAGCGCTAGTTAAATTTTCCATATCTTTGTTCTCCAGTACGGTTTCAGTTTCAGAAAGCTTTGGGCTTTCACTGGGCCAGGATTCCTCATGAGTATTGCCTACCTGGATCCAGGAAATATAGAGTCAGACTTACAATGTGGCGCTGTTGCTGGCTTCCAAGTGAGTATGTGAGGAAATGGAGGAGAAGGCCAAACAAACAAACAGCCTGCAGTGACTTACTTTGAAATTAATTCTTATTCATCTTTCCCAATTATTGAAGCCCATCTCAAGGCTGGAAACAGGAAAATTCCTGCATACTTCCAGTTTTCATTGCTCAGCCTCTAGATCAGGACTATCAAACTCACAGCCCATGGCCTGGATGTGACATATGCTCCTGCCCGGTTTAGCAAAGGGTGGGGGAGTCCCAATACGTCACATGACACTGCCGTGATGACATGAGTTTGACACTCCTGTTCTAGATTCACAGGGACTTTACAAAGTTGTCCCCATTCCTTCTACTCTCTGTAACTGACCCTCCATGCTGTATTTATTTATTTATTTATAATATTTGTACTTCTGCTCATCTGATCAAAAGTTGCTGTGGGTGGACTCAATATAGACATGTGTTTCTGAGTTTCTCTCCCAATATCCTAAAGCTACGTGGGTCTCAGTCCTGTTTAGTTATTGTTGTATTGATACAGAACCTCCTATGTGCTCTGTGACCATGTGCCTTTGCTCCCTACACAGCTGCTCTGGGTCCTGCTTTGGAGCACAATTTTGGGTCTACTCTGCCAAAGGTTGGCTATACGGCTTGGAGTAGTTACAGGCAAGGACTTGGGAGAGATATGTTATCACTACTATCCCAAGGTGAGTATGAATGTGTAGCAGTCAATAAGGCAACATTGGCTCCAAATTCTGGTTTATTCGGTGACTGCAGTGGCACAGTGATAATTGCAAATGGAACTAAATTGATCTCCATCTGCCTTTCTTTCTCTGGCTTTGCACTTGACCCCTAAGCCACAATGTAGTTTGATGGGTCTATGAATCAAATAACTGTGGTTTACACAATAAACCATGGGTAAACAAAGCATGATTTGATTTCATGTGTTTGCCAAATTAAGCCACAGTAGTTTATGATCATGGTTTATTGCTTGTTTTATGCAAAATGTTAATATATCGGTCATAAACAATAGCATTTTTTAAAATTTTACTTGAGTTATATGTTGCCTTTCTGTTTGAAACTATGCTCAGTAAATACATATTCTAAATAAGATTCCCATTTTTTAAAAAATAGCAAAATCATTCACTGTTAATCTTGTAAAGATGTCGTCCCTTTTCTAAAAACAGAGAAAGTGGGATTCAGCTTCCAAGGAAATGCAAGTCATAGCTGGGAATGATGGGAAAAAATATTATCCCACATAATAAGGCTACACTTGGAATATTGCATTCAGTTTTGGTCGCCATGATGTAAAAAAGATGTGGAGACTCTAGAAAGTGTAGAGAAGAGCAACAAAGATGTTTAGGGGACTGGAACTAAAACATATGAAGGACAGTTGCAGGAACTGAGTATGTCTGGTTTAATGAAAAGAAGGACTAGGGGAGACATGATAGCAGTGTTCCAATATCTCAGGTGTTGTCACAAAGAAGAGGGAGTCAAGCTATTCTCCAAAGCAGCTGAAGGCAAGACAAGAAGCAATGGGTGGAAACTAATCAAGGAGAGAAGCAACTTCGAACTGAGGAGAAATTTCCTGACAGTTAGAATAATTAATCAGTGGAACAATTTGCCTCCAGAAGTTGTAAATGCTCCAACACTGGAAGTTTTTAAGAAGATGTTGGATAATCATTTGTCTGAAATAGTGTAGGGTTTCCTGTCTAGTAGGGGTTGGACTAGAAGACCCCCAAGGTCCCTTCCAACTCTCTCATTCTATTCTATTCTAATCTGAGAACAGGAGCATTTTCAGAAAGATCTGTCGTACAGATTGTACAGTATTGAGACTTGTTCCCTCAGATGATCAGGCCTTAAAGGTTTAAGGCTTTGGAATTAACACCATGTGCTTAGCAAATAACTGGTAATTGCTCAGATGTTTGTCCATTGGTATCTTGTGATTCCTGGGCCCTTTTGTTGTTGTTGTGGTGGTGGTTGTGGTTGTGGTTGTGGTTGTTGTGTTTGTTGTGTTTGTTGTATTGTGTTTTGTATCAACCTNTATATATAATTTTATATATAAGAATAGCAGCATAAATTAATGTTATATATAATTTTATATATAAGAATAGCAGCATAAATTAATGTTATATATAAAATTAATGTGTGCTATTCTTATATATACAACAGCCAGTTTGGTGTAACAGTTAAAGATGCTGAATAGAAGCCGCAATACTGTAAGTACTAGTCCTGCCTTAAACACAAAAGTCCTGGTGATTTGGGGCCAGCCATTCTCTCTCTAGCTTTGGAAAGAAGGTGCTGGCAAGCCACTTCTTAAAGCAATTCAATACAGCAAAGGATTAGGTAAGTTAAGGCAGGAATGGGTCAGAGAAAGGCAATTCATAAATCAGGGCCAGCTTCTGCCTGTGATTTACTAACGCTTCATCTAGGGGGCAATCCACAGTAGTTATTGTACAGTTATTAAAGGTCTACACTTCCTGCCAGCATAAAGATAGTTATAGTTATACTGTCAGTTGTGGGATTCAAATAATTTAACAACTGGTTCTCTGCCCTAATGATTTCTTCCAACAACCAGTTCACCAAACCGCTCAGTAAGTTAACAACCGTTTCTCCTGAACTGGTGCGAACTGGCTGAATCCCACCACTGCTGTATGTGCCCATGAGGTCAGTTTACACAAAATTACAATTATAATCATGGTCAATCAATGAAACGTATTTGGGCTCTCTGAATTCTTGGGGTTTCCCTCAGGTATGCTTTCCAAGCATTTCTTCTTCAGATGTTCCAAGATCAGAATAATCTTCATAGCAAAGGCTCTGTTTTTTAAAATCCAGAATGAATTTCTTCTATTTATGGTAGGTCTCCTCTGAAGATTTCACTGAACAAATAGAAGGATGTGTGTGCAGGGTTCCTTTTTGATAGCTGGATTTCAAGCTTACTTCCTTGACAAAGTTTTATCTTTCCCTAAATGCTTAGCAATTTGAGGCACATGTCGCTGGTCATGTTATTTTAGCACCTGACATAGAAAATCACAAAGATATCACTTTAAATGCCAGAGACTAAAATTTTCCCTAAAACAAAACAAAACAAAACAAGATAGATTACAATTCGGTCATGATGCTTGAGTTGTTCTGCTGAGGCACTGCTTCTCAGTGCCAAACACTGTGTATAAGAGAAAAATCACGCTATTGATTTCTTTTTGGATGCACTTCTCCTTTTATGTTATTGTGAAATCCAAGAGTAACCAAAATGAGTTCACTATTAAGATCCTTCCTCTTTATGGCTTTTCTCTGTTGCTGAATTCTAGGGCATGTGATTACTTCTCTTCAGCTTTCATCATTTGTGAAGATCTTGCACTGCTTCTGATCTGAAGATAACTTTTGACAGAACAAACTTTTAAATGGGATCACAAGATGCAGGTAGATTCACCAAATCGTACTCATTTTTTCAGTGATAAAAATTACATCTTCTGTTCCTCTTGTACTTTTTTTAAAAATTGATATTCATTTCTTCCATAGACATGTATTTGATTTGTTTATTTATTCAGAAGAAGGAAAATATAAATCAGTGCAGCGTTAGAATGATTTCTAGAAAACAGTTTACATTTTCAATTTCATCTACTGTACTTTTCTGTTCTTTTGGTTGATTTATACCAAGTAACTTTACAGGTTGTAATCGTTATACAGTTGCTGTGAATAAGCCTTATTTAATTCAATGGAACTTAATTCTGGGATGTAGGATTTATTTTATTGGGATCACTCAACTCTGCAAAACCCATTTTTATGTAATTCTGTAGCTTTTAAAAGTCTGCTTATTACCCAGCTGTTAAAATCACCAAAGCATGCTAAGAAAATGAACAAACTAGAAATGTAACAATAAGACTGTGAGAGAATTTCTGCCTAACATATAAATACAGATTTGTAAAGGTCCCATAACTTTGAACTATGCTATAATTGTGCATTTTTCAATACAGTAACCACATGAGTTGCAGAAACAGAATTTAGTTCTTTGGAAGTGATTAAATTCTGAAATCTGAAATCTTGAAACATTCTATGTTTCTAATCAGCAGCAGCCGTAAGTGTGTGTTGGTTAATATCTCTTGTTTTGGATAGTACCAATCAGAGGTGGGTTGCTTGCAGTTTGGCCCGGTTTGGCAGAACCAGTAGTGGAATTCAGGCCTGGATCCCAGAACAAGCAGTGACCCAGGCCTGCCACGCCCCTGAAATGGTTCCCTTGCTGCGCTGAGCCGCCACCATTTTGGATTTTAGTGACTGCTTGTGCACAGGTCACTGTAAATTGTTCTGTGCATGTGCGAAGAACAACTTACATTGAACAGTCCCCGCACTTGCAGTGCACGTCAGATGCGCGAAACCGGCAGCAACCAACTGCTGGTACCTATATTGATTTTTAAATGATACTTACAGAAGAGAAGAGGCAACCAGGATGTCGGAAAGCTGATTATTTTCATCCTTTTCTTGGATTCCATTCCAGTGCGTTTCCTTTGTTTCCTAACAGAAGAAAAGAGGACCACACGCTCAAAACTTCCTTTGCTAAATTACAGGCAGGAGGAGATGCACTTTCCCTTTTCCTTCTGTCAAAACACCATGCCTTTTATACAAGTCCAAAGCTTCACCCTAGAGAGATGGGAAGTTGCATCACTTGGATGGTTGTTTTAAGAATTACAGTTCAGTTAAACCAAGGAAACATCTCCAAATCTTGTGACTCAGTGACTAAGTTTACCCATCTTCTTAAGTCATGCTTGGTTAACGCAATGTATGTTTTCATGCCCAAACCAGAAGATGGCAGTAGAAGGACTTCTCTTTTTAATCTCTGAAGTTCCAAGCCAAGGAACCAAATTGAAACCATTATGTGTTGCTCAGAACCTCTCACCCCAACAGTGATTTCAAAATCCAAAAACTTATATTCAACAATTTCCTTGAAAAACGTAGCGGTAAGCTCAGATAAGTATGAAGTATGAAGATAAGTCCATGCTCATAGATCTCACAGCCACAACATTGAACTGCAGTCAGCTAGCTCTCATCATTCCCTTAAAGAGGATCAAAGGCTCTGGTTCTAATTCATCAAAGGGAGGGAGGGAGATGGTCTTTCCTCACTTAGCAGGCCTGAATGGACCCCAAGCCTTGTTAGAACAATATTAAGACTATGTGGTGTAACACTGTCATGCTCTAACTTTCTCCAGTCTGGTTTGTTTTATGGGACAGAAGGAAGTGATTTTGTAGACTGTAGTTGAAGTCAAGATCAAGGCATTGACAAGGACTAAAGGATAATATTTGTGTTACCAAGCCATTTTTGGTATTGTTGGAAAAAATGTCCTTCTGGGTTCGGCTCCAAGTCAGGAAAAAGACACTGGAGACATGGGGGCTGCTTGGAAAGATGGTTTAATGGTGGACAGGACCACATGGCTTGAGTCCTGAACAGAAGAAGTGATCACATGTTTCAATGTTGGGTGCAGAAGAAGAGAAGGAAAGGAGTGAGATGCTGAAAGTCCCTGGTTTTATGCCCTCTCTGGCCTTTGATCTTGAGCTTGTATTCTGATTGGTTGTCAGAATCCAATGGGGCCATGCAGGGGCAACTGTCTAGGCTATGTTTTGAATCCAAGTTTGGTTGAGTTCTCAGATGCCATGTGGTGAGTGGGTAAAGGCTAATCATGCCTTAATCACATCACTCTGGAGCTGAAGGGGAGAACTCTTTATTATGTAAAGATACTTGCTTGGGGATCTTAATGGCCCATTGACAAAGTGGGGTGGGCAGGAAGCTACATGGAGTTATTCTGTCTTTAAAACATGTTTCTCCCTTTTCACATCCAGAGAAATATTCTGCCTTTTCAATATTTCCTAGGATATTTCATTTTTCTGGGAGAGGGCTGGGTGATAACTTCCTACAGTATGCTGTAGACGAGGCTATCAAGATTGCAACATGACTATGTCACTGATTAGCATTCTTGTATATTATGCCGAGAAAGCAAGCATAGATATACNCTGCCAAATTGCAGGCAGCCAGCAGTCAGCAGAAGTAGCCTGCAGTACTTCATTCTAACCACTGCACCATCGCGGCTCAGAATTAGAATGGAATGGAACGGAATGGAACAGAACAGAAGAGAAGAGAATAACAGAGTTGGAAGGGACCTTGGAGGTCTTCTAGTCCAGCCTGGGAGGTCTTCTAGTCCAACCCCTCTCAGGCTATTTCTGAGCATGTATCTAGTGATCTTCTGTATATTAAACATGTGTCTAAGAATAGTATGGCATTTTCTCTTATTTTAGGGTAGGATGGGAGTTTTCCAACCCTTGAAAGGCTTCCCACTCACATGCCTACTCTTAACACACAACATACACAAGCAAAGTTAAAAATGAGCCAAAAGTACTTGGTCACAGACTTTCAAGTAATGCCTTGTTATTTGGGGTGGGTGGGAGGATAAAGGACAAACCTGAAAAGGAGGCAAATATGAAAGGGGTTCATAAGGATAAAAACATTGGTTTGTTTACAAAGGAAAATTCAACAACAAAACTAAAACCTTACAAAAACAATAATAAAAATCTATAACATCAAACAGTACATATAAATTGTTTTTTAAAGAGCAATTCACTTTTCCACATTTTCCACATGAATATGAAATACTTTTGTGTTAGCTGCTACTGATTGTATAGTAAAGGTTATATGACCAAAATGAAGGAGAGAAGTGAGTTTTTGAAGATTAAATCAAAAGGACTGCTCTCTGAAATAAAGGGCTGTCCTTTATAATACATATGGTCACTGCAGCTATATCCCATCCTTAGATTAGTGTCGTGTGTGAATGATGATCACTGAGTTCCTAATATGTTATAGCCAAAATTAGAAAGAGGCGTTGAGAGATCTTAGATTATCAACTTTTCCTCTGTACCTTTTAACAGTCCAACTGTTGTCCTTTCCACTATAGGTCCCACGGGTGCTGCTCTGGATTATGATCGAAATTGCTATAATTGGCTCTGATATGCAGGAAGTTATTGGAACAGCAATTGCTTTCAACCTCCTTTCAGCTGGACGGTAAGATCCCTGATTTTCTATAGGCAGAAGACAAAGCAATGGACAGGTTTCAGAGACAAGTGCTCTGAGTGCTATGGGACTACCAAACACTAGACTCTACCATTGGGTCTCTACAGATTCCTAGAATCAGGAAAGATTGGACTAAATATAAGGTGAAACCAATGCTATCATTTCTCTGCTCTTTGCACATCAGGCATAATTCCTTCCCATTTTAAATATCCTCCTGCAGAATGATTGGGGTGAGGAATTGCCAGTGCATGGCACTGAAACCTTTGTCATATATTGCCTAATGATATATTTCAGATTGGCCAAGACATGCAATTATGGAAGCAAAGAATGTTGCACTTCAAAGTTGCAGGATATAGAACAGCCTTCTCCAATTTGATGGCTATCAGAGGTTAATCCAAAGTACTGTAAAGGATCATTGGAGGGTGAGGGTTGGGGAAGAGCTATAATCCAGTGGCACAGCACAGTCCCAGGTCCTAACCTCTCTAGATAGTACTGGGAAAGTTTCCGATCTAAAACTTGAAGAGATTCTGACAATCACTGATTGCACTCCCAATTTCTCAAAAGCTAGTGCACTTCACTTTCACCCTTCTTGAGATGTTATGGCCTTTTAGTCTCTAAAGCAAGGATTGGCAGAAAAAGACATTGGTGGTGAGTGCCAAGAGGAAAATGGGAAGCACCTATGGGAAAATGGACAGTCAATAAACTCTGCAGAACTGCACCATTTTCAAGTAGAAAACAACAACCCAGCTTTGTTCCAAAAGCAGATAAGTGTAACTGAGCCAGCAGTGCATTGACACCACTCTTAGAAAAGGTCTGATGGCATGACATAGTACAGATCCAGTGCTGATTATAAACCAGTAAAAGACAATGCCAAAAGTCTGACTATGCCTAGCAGAAAGCTGTTTTCTATAATTCTTTGAATTAAAGACACTACAGATAGAGCTTTAGCAAACTTAAAGCCCTTCAAGAAATATTTTGTTTTCACAACTATATAGCAATAGCAACAATAGCAGCGATAGCACTTAGACTTACATACTGATTTACAGTGCTTTACAGCCCTCTCTATGAGGTTTATGGAATCAGCATATTGCCCCCAACAACCTGGGTCCTCATTTTACTCACTTCAGAAGGATGAGTCAAGCTTGAACCTGGTGAGATTTGAACTGCCCAATTGCAGTCAGCCGACAGTCAGCAGAAGTAGAGTACAATACTGCACTCTAACCATTGCACCACCATGGTTCATGTACCTAGTCTATCCCTTAGCTACCCATCTATATCATTAGAAAAATCCTACAAGACTAAAGTTTTGCAATTCAACTTGGCATAGAAAGCACCAACCCTCCTGTATTTATGGGTGCTTCCATTTTAATCAGACATGGGCTTATGATAGCAGGACACTGAGTCTTCATAGTACTCTGAGAAACAGTCAGATGTGTGCAATTCTATTTGAATGATAAAATTTTACTTTTCTTTTTGCAGTATCCCTTTGTGGGCTGGAGTCTTGATCACAATTGTGGACACCTTCTTCTTCCTCTTCTTAGATAAATATGGTAAATACTAGGCCAGAGAGAAGGGAGGTATACATGGTTGAGTCATCTAGTGAGATGTTCAAGTTTATGAGAGTTTGGTTACTGTGTTACTAATGATATACTCATATGTTGTCATGCCAAAACTAATATCACTATCGTGTATTGCCTGTATATTAGAGGATTTGAGCTGTGTAGTTATGAATGCTATGGAATTTTTTGCTATGTACTTGTCAGCAAGTATAATGGACCTGTATGTAAGTCAGAGTACATGTCACCCATATAAGGTATAAGGTTATCAAGGTACATTTATGCTTCTAACCCTACAGTACAGTACCAGAATGAAATTTTCTCTGAAGGCACAAGAGACTCTTCTCAAAATATAATATAGTCCCCTACCTCCAAAATAGATGGTGCAAATGTGACCCAGATGAGGCAGTGGCTCCGAATGAAAAAAACTAAACAAAAAACATGAAAAGAAGGCCAAACCAGCATTGGCCAAACCAAGACTGGCCAATCTTTGATAGAAAATTGTATTAGTTGTGTTTTGCGTCACAAAACAAGGCATTCTGATGGTGGGCATTCCACTTTGATTCTTCTGGAACTCGAGCTTTACCTGACTAGCCAACTTTGAGTTGGTAGGTAGACATCAGTGGGTATAGATGTAAGCAAATAAAGTTTTTTATTTCAGAAAGTAAGTCTGTATGGTAAATCTGCATTTGTTTCTGTGAGCCCAGAATCTTTGGCTATACCAGAACGGTAAGGAACACTCAAAGTATTATAAACATATAAATATTCAGAGTGATTTCATGAAAATAACACCTAACATACCCTGTTTCCCTGAAAATAAGACCTCCCCGGATAATAAGTCCAGTCGGGCTTTTGAGCGCATGCACTAAAATAAGCCCTCCCTTGAAAATAAGCCCTCCCTGAAGATATTGCAACACAGCAGCAGCCATGAGTTGACCATGCTCGCCGCCTCATGCACCTCAAAAATAAGACCTTCCCAAAAATAAGACCAAATGCTTATTTTGGGAGTCAAAAGAAAATAAGACCCTGTCTTATTATTGGGGAAACACGGTATTTACTTGCCACAATAAGGAGCACCAAGCAAAATGTTAACTACTGTTTGAAATAGCCATTAATGCAGTCTTTCCTGCTGGAAGCTCTCAGAATTTTGCTCAAAAATATTTCAGGAGAGCACCGGATTGAAAATAATCTAATTGAGAATCCCAAGGCCTCCTATGGACAATAAACCTCTTTCTCTTTTGTCTTCCCTGGCAGGTCTCAGGAAGTTAGAAGCCTTTTTCGCCCTCCTCATTACTATCATGGCAGTAACGTTTGGCTATGAGGTAAAACATGTTCTCTCCTCCCACATGTAAGAACCTCAACCATGCTTCCCTAGACAGGCTAGAAGTCTGAGGCTTATACAATACAATAATGAAATAGCAGAGTTGGAAAGGACCTTGGAGGTCTTCTAGTCCAATCTGTAATGATGTGTATGTTTTATGTTATATCTCAATTGTTACACCCAGTTCTTTATGCATGGTAGGAAACAGTTAACATTTCTAGTCATGTGATCTGGGGGCAGTAAGTTGTTGTAAGATGGCTGCTGCTGAGTAAAGACAAGCCTCTGGTTCCAGCTCCTTGCTGTCTGCCTTTATTTGTATTAAATCATCACACAATCCCCTGCCTAGGCAGGAAACCCTATACCATTTCAGACACATGGCTATCCAACATCTTCTTAAAGACTTCCAGTGTTGGGGCATTCACAACTTCTGGAGGCAAATTGTTCCACTGATTAATTGTTCTAACTGTCAGGAAATTTCTCCTCAGTTCCAAGTTGCTTCTCTCCTTAATTAGTTTCCACCCATTGTTTCTTGTCCATCTTTTTTACATCATAGCAACCAAAACTGAATGCAGTATTCCAAATGTGGCCTTACCAGGCATTATAAAGTGGTATTAACACTTCATGTGAT